AGAGTCACTGTAGCTTTTGTGCAACAACCCTAAGAGAGATTGCAACAGTCCACGAGGACAGTTGCTGAACTCCCCTGTTCTCTCTCTGCGTGGGACCCGGGAAAACCCAGTTCTGAGACCATGATATTCTGCACTTGGGCTCGTAGCCACAACAACGTGACAGCCAATCCCAGTACAGAGGTCAAGGGAAACCTGGGGACTGCCACCTACTCCTTCCTGCTTTTCTGCACTGCTTAAATACACTCTTCAGAAAATGAACTATGCCATTGCTGCCGGGCACAACCCTGAGTTCCTGTTGTTATTCACCACACAAGCACCCAAGACCAGAGTCGGAACCCCCGCTGCAGCTGGTATGTCTCCCAACCGGAGAGAAATTTTCCTTACCATTCTATCACCCACTATTTCTGTGGCTCCAAGAGAAATCCAGATGCTCCCTACTCAACATTATATTAACATTTTAACCAGGTTTGTTTATTTTTGTCTACAAGAAAATAATACAAATGATACAACTCAAAGACTAATTCCACTAAACTCTAAGCATGGCCCCTCATACTTAAAAACAACTATTACTGATTAGGCTCTCCTCTACATGTAAGAATCAACTAGTTAGGTCTTTCCTGTCAAAGGAGTTAATAATGTAAAAGTATCGTTGTGTAGATGCCAGCTAACCTCCCTGAATTGCTGCCTACATGCCTACATGTGAAATGTTGCTTGACCTTGCAAGTTTCTTGTGATCAAACGAAGTGCTATTTATCACCAGATGTCCTAATCTCAAACTGCTTGCTCAAAGATGAATATTGCCCAAAAGAATTTTCTTGTTCTCCCTGCTTCAGGGTCCCCATTCCCCACTTGCCTCCTTTTCTAAGTAACCATTCACGAAGATTACGAACCCAAACCAGCCCATAAGGGCGAAGGGTAAAGAGGTAAAAACTGAGCTGACTCCCTGCTCACTGTGTTCTCTCTGGCTGCACCTTCTGCAGAAGTAAAACTTTTCTTTTTGCCTTGCTGAGTGACTCCCACATACTTCTTTGATCACTGTTTGGGAACAGCATTTCCCACACAGGGCTCTCCTGAACCATTCATGACCTGGAATTCCAACTGTCTCTACTAACAGAGAGCAAGGACAAGAGACTTCTCACCTAGACCTACACCCCACATCAGCAGGAAGTAGCAGGCTGATTTCAGTCAGGGTCTCTAACCCTTGAGTGGGGAATGTTAGGTAGCAGTTAGACATGAATGATAGACGAGGCAGGATAGATAGATAGAGGCAGGAGACAGGGAAATTATATTATTTTAATAAATATTTAAAAGGGCAGACTCAGACATTGAAACTAGAAAGTAATAACTAAACAGCCAGAGCAGCTAGGTGTCCCTTCCCATCTCTTTTTAAATGCCAAGTTATATGAAGAGACTTAAGGCTATCTGTATCTGCCGTCCTCTTAGAAATGTTAACTAAATGTTAACTACAAGGCTCTTTGGATAACTTAGAGTGGCAAAAAGAATGAAAGGCATGTGTAGCAAAGGAAAGTCCTAAATCACACCTACTGTCCCTATGAGGTGAGTAGGCCTGGATGGCACCTCCCTGTTTCAGCACCCATCTTAGCCATCCCGATCCATTATCATAATGACCGTATGTATTCCTCCAGCTCAGAAAGTATAAAACTAGAGACTGCCAATTTGAGTCTTTACTCTCATTTCCTGCAGGGGGAGCAAGAAATGTTCTCCCTTTTTTCTCCATTTCACCTCCCTTTTATCCTGTTATGCTAATTCTTTTCCTAATAAACTTTACTATTACTTTTACTATAAAAATTCCTAGAATCAAATGAAAATGAAAACTTAACTTACCAGAACCTCTGGGACACAGCAAAGCAGGGCTAAGAGGGGGAGTTTATAGCTACAAGCACCTACATTTAAAAAAATCAGAGAGAATACAAATAAATAACCTAAAGTGCACCTCAAGCTCTTGAATATACAAGATCAAGCCAAACCCAAAAGCAGTAGACAGAGAGAAACAATAAAGATCAGGGCAGAAAGGAACAAAGCATAAACTAAAAGAATACAAAAAATTTTATTTGAAGAGATAAACAAGTTTGATAAACCCTTAGCCAAACTAACAAAAAGAAAGAAGGAAAAGAACCAAATCAATAAAATTAGACATGAAGAGAGGGGATACTATAACAAACACCACTGGAATCAGAGGATCACTAGGGAATACTTCAAAAACTTATATTCTAATAAACTGGAAAATCTACAAGAAACGTAATTTCTACACACCTATGACCTACCAAAATTGAACCATGAGGATATAGAAACCATCCAAACAGTACTATAACAAGCAATGAAATTAAAGCAGTAATAAAGAGTCTCCCAACAAAGAAAAGCCTGTAACAGGCCAAATTCGATGTTGAATTCTACCAGACCTTTAAAAGAACGATGAACACTAATACTCCCCAAGCTAATCCGTAACAGAATCGGAAGGAACTCTACCAAACTCATTCTATGAAACCAGTGTTACTCTGATATCTAAACTGAATAAGGGCACATCAAAAATAAGAAAATTGCAGGCCAATTTCCCAATGAACATAGATGTAAAAATTCTCTCTCAAAAAAAAAAAAAAAAAAACTTGTGAACCAAATTCAACAACACTAAAAAGATCAGCTGGTGGAGTGGTTCAAGTGGTCGAGCACCTTCCCAGCAAGTGTGAGGCCTTGAGTTCAAATTGCAGTACCACCAAAAAAAATATCATACACCATAATCAAGTTGGTTTCATTCCAGGGATGCAAAGATGATTCAACATGCAGGAATCAATGAACATAATACAGCACATAACAGTATCAAGGACAAAACCCACAACTGTCTCAATAGATTCATTAAAAGCCTTTGAAAAAATTCAACATCTCTTCACAGTAAGAGCCCTGAGCAAACTAGGAACAGAAGGAATATAACCTTAACATAATCAAGGCTATATAAGAAAAACCTACAGACAACATTGTAGCAAACAGGAACATTTCAACCATTTCCTATAAATCAAGGAGACACTCTTCCCACTCTTATTCAATAAAATGCTTGCACTCTTAGCCAAAGCAATAAGGCAAGAGAGGAAAATAAAAGGTATACAAATAGGAGAGGAAGAAGTCAAATTATCCCTATTTACAGATGATAAGATTCTATATATTAAAGACCCTAAAGATGCTACTAAAAGGCTCTTAGATCTAATAAACACCTTCAGCAAAGTAACAGGACACAAAGTCAACACATAAAATCCAGTAGTGCCAGGCACCAGTGGCTCAAGCCTATAATCCTAGCTACTCAGGAAGCAGAGATCAGGAGGACCACAGTTCAAAGACAGCCTAGGCAAATAGTTCATGAGACCCTATCTTGAAAATACCCAACACAAAAAAGGGATGGTGGAGTGGCTCAAGTGGTAGACCACCTACATGTGGCCCTGAGTTCAAACCCCAGTATCACCAAAAGAAGAAAAAACAGAACTACCATATGATCCAGCTATACCACTCCTGAATATATATATATATATATATATATACACAAAGGACTATAGATCAACATATAAGATTCAGGAGCTATACCACTCCTGAATATATATATATATATATATATATATATATATATACACAAAGGACTATAGATCAACATATAAGAGAGATTCCTGCACACTCATGTTTATGGTAGCACTATTTACAATAGCCAAGATATGGAACCAGCCTAGGAGCTCAATAATTGATGAATAAAGAAAAGTTAATACACACACAATGGAGTATTATTCAGTATCATTATAAAGAAAAATGAAATTATGTAATAAAATATGCAGGAAAATAGATGGTAGTGGAAATCATCATGTTAAGAGAAGCCAGACTGAGAAAGAAAAATATCACATTCTCTCTATATATGGACTCTAGACCTAAAAAATAAAACAAATGACATGAGTGTAAAACAAGGGAACTGAATGAGGATAAAAGGACAGGGTGAAGGGAGCATAAAAAATGAAACCGGTTAAAAATTGTTTAAAATGAGGGTGGTAAGAAGTGTAATAGAGATGTAATAGAGTGTAATAGAGGGTAAAAGGTGTAATTGAGGCAGTAAATTTGATCAAAGTACATTATATGTATGTATGGAAATATCACAATGAAACCCCTATGTACTAAGGCAACTACTGTTGCCTTTGTCCAGCAAATTCACACTGTAAACAGTCCCTGCCCATAAGTTACTTAGTAGTGGTCTCATTTATCAGATCAACTGTGTGGTATTGCAGTGTTTGTGTTCAAGTAGCCCTTATTTTACTTAATAATAGCCGCAAAGGACAAAAGTAGTGGTGCTGGCATTTTGAATACGCCAGAGAGAAGCCACAGAGTGCTTACTTCATGTGAAAATTACACATGCACAAGAAACAAAGCCAGGTACGGTAGTACATGCCTGTAGTCCCAAGTACTTGAGAGTCAGACAGAAGATCACTTGGGCCTAGGAGCTCAAGGCCCAGTTGACAACACAGCAAGACCCTATCTAAAAAACAGAAACAAAAAGTATATATAGAGGTTCAGTACTGTCCACAGGTTTCAGGCATCCACTGTGAATTATACGGAGCCAGGTGGCAGGGGGGCAACAATGACAACACTACTGTCACTATATATTCTCTTGGTAATGTTTGACAGTAATGCATTAGGTAATAAAAGAAGTAAGTAAAAAACATCATGAGTTAGGAGCATAGCTCTCCATCATGGAGTTAGGAGCATAGCTCAGTGGTTAGTGGTCTTATGCAAGGCACTGGGTTTAATCCCCAAAAAAAAAAGGAATCAGAAAGTATTTCATCTGAATCTCTTATACAAGTGACTATTATATTATTTAGAAACACAAAATAATTTTTTTACAAATTACCATTAATTTCATTTCTTCTGAGCAACAAGGTGCTCAGAAGACAACATACTGACAAACTAATGTTAAATTTCTAACATTCTGATGCACACTTGATAACACCCTGACTCACCTGGTGGTTGGTCTTGACTCATGTTTAACTTGGGTTCATTTCCTAAGTGTGAATCTGATTTTGGTTTTGGTTTCAAAGAAGGGAAGAATTTCATCATTAGATCTGATGTAGGAGGGGGACTTCTGCTACTTCTGGACTTGCTAAAGTCTTCTCCCTTCTTCACTGGTGCAACCTTCCTTTTTATTGTTTTATCCAGAACACATATTTCATTCTTATTAGGGTAGTGTGTCTGGGGCATCCCATAAATGGCTTCATCCCCAGTAACATCATGTTTCCATGAATTCTCTCCGAGGTCAGTCCAAGATCTTTCATCATCAAAGTCAAGTTTACTCACACTTAAAGATGACTGTCTTCCTGAGGGCTCAGACACTTTATTTTCCATGTTTTCTATTGTGATGGACTCATCACTGCTATAATCTTTATCAGACAAATCAAGGTCGACATCTCTCCTTTTATCTTCTTTAGTGCTGGTGTTTCTAAAAGGGCCCTTGCCATCACAGACTTGTGGACTATCCTCTCTGTTGTTGAAACCTCTTTCTCCATCCTCAGTAGATGGTTTTATTGTCATCAAGTTGCTCATCAGAGTCACTGCTACTGTCACTGTTCATAACACACCAACATTGTATCCCATCGCTTTTGATTTTCAGAAGTGCTTGTTTGGAAGGCTTTCCTACTGATTTTACAAGTTGGTTCCCTCAAATTATCAGGCAAGGATGCTGAACCAAATGTCTTGGGTGAGGCCTTAGACTCACTCTTAATCTCATGTGCAGCAGTGTGGCTAGCATCCTCGCTGTGGTCACTCTGACTAGTGACATCTGCCTCATGTGTCTTCTGCTGCACAGCTTTCACAGGTGTCGAAGACATCCGGTGACCTTTGCAGATCTGTTGATCCCTTTCTAAGATTTTCAGTACAAATGAGGAATTACTAGAAAATGATATTTCTCAGCAGCTTTTTCTAAAAACCAAAATTCATCCAATTCCAAATTTCCTTTACTTTTTCCCGTTCCCAATTCTCCATTTTTTTCTGAAGAGAAATGTCAAGAGAAGATTCTGATACTTTCACAGTCTCACTTACCAAACTCTTAGAAGTCACACAGCTGGCTGGTCCCATTAGAAGAGGGAGTTTGTCCTTCCCCTGTGGTCTTGTTGCATGCCTTGCAACCAGCATCACAGGGTTTTATGTACTCGGGTACATTTTCTTTATTAGTAGATTCAACTTTTTTTCTAATTTGATCTGGTCTCTAAATTTCCATCACACTTCTTTCCTGTCTGTCCTTTCAATCCTAATGGAGAGAGGCTTTTCCTATTATTACTCTTAGGAACTTTTGGTTTTTGACTAAGTATGGCAACTAGTCTTGGTTCTAACTTTTTGTTCCTTTTTAACAGTAGGGCTCTCTGCACACAGTTCTTTATTTTAAGTGCAGTTTTTCCGCTGAAATTGTTGTCTATCTACTTTAAACACAGGTCGATCCTCTGAAATGCTCTGGTTAGTAACTAGTTTACTTTCTTTCTCTTTTGAAACCTGAATTTAGCATTAGTAAATCTAGCTAAACCTTCTCCTCGTTTTAAGAATGGTTGTTTGGGCTTTGCTTTCATTAGCAATGGTCCCTTCTGCTTCCTAAAATAAAGGACAATATTGAATTAATCTGCATATCCAAATAATCTCAAATTATTTTTAAAGCAAATTATAATAATTCTTCAAGGTTTTAAAATAATTCAATCCAAAATAAGCACAAATGCTTACCCTTAGCTGTTTTTGCTTAGTGCTTGTTCATCCAACCAAATTTGTTCTTCTAAGTAGTCTTCAAATGTCTTTCCTTTCTCTAATGGCAGCCTTAATAGGCCTAGTCAAACAACAAAGTTATTTAAAATGCATGTCACAGGGTGTGAATATTTGCACTTAGTGTGTCTCAGGTAGACACCTTGACTACACTAGACACTAACCTTTTTCAGTCAAGGACAGGCTAGCGGTGCGTTTTTCATAGTAGAGGCACATGCTTAAAGTGCACAAGGCCCTTAACATGTCAATCCTCAAGCACCAGAATGGTTAAAATGCAAATCACGGACCCCTTCTAAGATAAAAACTACAATTCCTTACTTCCCGTCCCCCTCAATACACAAATATACAACACTCTGCACATGATTTTGGGGTACTCAAAAATCCTTCTGAACCCCATCTATTGACTGTAGATAAAACTTTTAGAATAACCATATTTACTAAATAACTTAAAAATATTATCTTAAAGTGGTTTTATTAAATATGTATTTTAAATTAAGAAAGGTCCTTAACAATGTGAGTAAAAGCCATAATCAGAAGTCATTTTGCTGACCTTGCCTCAGAGAAAGAGCATGAGGCAAAGTAACAAGCCCCCAATAAAACAACACAGCAAGAACCTAACTCCAAAGCAGGATGGCTAGTGGCCACAGAGTGATTCTCTGGAACCTGAGGAAAAGCCACACCTCGCTGAGGAGAGTTGATAAAGCAGCTGCCACTAAAGATAGGAAAAAAAAAAAAAAAAACTGGCCAGTCTCCCCAACCACCTGGTGAGACTAAGACAGAACTTCTGCTTAAATACCAACACAGGACTGGATGCTGAAGGAGTAACAACAGAACTACTAAGACTGAAATTCTATTGTTCCTGAACCTGGAATTTTTTTTTCTTTCTCTCTAAGTATTTGTCTTGTTCACTATTTGTTGTCCACCATCTCTCCCTGTTGATTTCTTTGGTTCTCTTTTTTTTTTTCCTTTCTTTTTCTTTTTTCTCTTTCTTTCTTGGTTTCATTAGTTTTACTATTGTAAGTTAGCTAATACTAAAAACAGAACAAGGACAGAAATAGCACCAAGTGAAACAATGGGAAGACAAAAAAGGGATGGAAACAATTCTTCCCCCAAAAAATAAATTAGTATAGGTTTCAGAGGGAAATGAAGAAAACAGATACACAGTTCCAGACTCCAACAAAACAAAGATAAACTATCCCAAGGAACCCAACGAAGTCCATAAGAACACCCTGAAAGAAGAAATCCTGCAAGAAATCACTGAGAATTTCATGGAGATGTTACTAGACAAGGTCAACCAAAACATATAGGAGGCACTCAAGAAATTCCAAGACAACAAAAATAAAGAATATGAGAAGACACAAAAATAAATAAATGAACTCACAGGAGCCCTAAATAAATACTAAAGTGAAACAGAGAACACCATAAATACAGAGATAAGTGAATTCAGGACAAATATTCACAATATTAGAGGGAGTGACCCATGATATGGAAAACCTCAGAAAAATGAATGAAACAGAAATACAAAACACAATGGAAGGCCACTCCAGCAGACTAGAACAAGCAGAAGATAGAATCTCAGAACTTGAAGATGGAATGGAAATTAAAGGAAAAACTGAAGAGCTCAAGACCTATGAAAGGAAAATGCAAGAACTCACTGACTCTATCAAAAGACCAAACCTAAGCATCATGGGCATTGAAGAAGGAGAAGAGGTGCAAGCAAAAGGAATTAGTAATATATTCAACAAATAATAACAGAAAATTTCCCAAATCTAGAGAAAACTATGCCTATTCAGGTACAGGAAGTCTCCAGGACACCAAACAGACTTGACCAAAACAGAACTACCCCATGACATATTATCATAAAAACAACAAGCACAGAGAATAGAGAAAGAATATTGAAGGCTATAAGATAGAAAAAACAAGTAACATACAAAGGTAAACCCATCAAAATAACAGCAGATTTCTCAACAGAAACCTTAAAAGCAAGAAAAGCATTCCGAAGTGAGGTTTCCGGGCACTGAATGAAAATAATTTCAACTCTACCCCACAAAACTACCATTCAAAATAGATGGAGCAGTAAAAGTCTTCCATGATAAGCAGAAACTAAAATAATATATGACTACCAAGTCACCACTACAAAAGATTCTTCAAGGAATTCTGCACATAGCAAATGAAAACAAACAAAACCATGAAAGGACAGGCAGTACCAAACCACAGGAGAAGAAAAGGCAAGAAAGTAGAGAGTAACAATGATTCAACTGCACACAATCAAACCCTTAAACAACAAAAACAACTAAATGACAGGAATCGCCACATACCTATCAATACTAACACTGAATGTTAACAGACTTAATTACCCCATCAAAAGATGCCATTTGGCAAACTGGATTAGAAAGGAAGATCCAACAATCTGTTGCTTACAGGAGACCCATCTCATTGACAGAAACAAGCACTGGCTTAGGATGAAAGGTTGGAAGAAGACTTACCAAGCCAATGGCCCCCCAAAACAGGCAGGAGAAGCAATACTTATCTCAGACAAAGTAGACTTCAAACCTACATTGATCAAACGAGATAAAGAAGGGCATTCCATACTAATAAAAGGGTAAATGCACCAAAAGGAAATAACAATTATCAACCTATATGCACCAACGTCAATGCACTCAATTTCATCAAATATACTCTGAAGGATCTAAAAACATATAAAGACTCCAATACAGTGGTATTGGGAGACTTTAATACCCCCCTATAGATAGGTCATTCAAACAAAAAATCAATAAAAAAAATTCTAGATCTAAATCACACCATAGATCAAATGGACCTAGCTGATGTCTACAGAATATTTCATCCAACTTCTGCAAAATATACATTCTTTTCATCAGTCCATGGAACCTTCTCCAAAATTGATCGTATCTTAGGGCACAAAGGAAGCCTCAGCAAATATAAGAAAATAGAATCCCATGCATTTATCTGATCACAATGCATTAAAACTAGAACTCAACAACAAAAACAACAGTAAAAAACATGCAAGCAGTTGGAAGCTAAACAACACATTGTTCAATGATCAAAGGGTCATTGATGAAATAAAAGAGGAAATTAAAAGGTTCCTGGAAGCTAATGAAAATGAAAACACGACCTACCAGAACCTATGGGACACAGCAAAGGCAGTCCTTAGAGGAAAGTTTATAGCCATGACTGCATATGTTAAAAGAACAGAAAGATCTCAAATCAATGACCTAATGTTTCATCTCAAAATCCTAGAAAAACAAGAACAAGCAAATCCCCAAACAAGCAGGAGAGAAATAATAAAAATAAGGGCCTAAATCAATGAAATAGAAACAAACAAACAAAACAAAATAGAAAGAATCAATGAAACAAAAAGTTGGTTCTTTGAAAAAATAAGTCTGACAAACCTGACTAAAATGAGGAGAGAAAAAACCCAAATCAGTAAAAAAATGCAGAAATCGCAAAGGGGAAATAAAAACAAAAACAAAGGAAATCATCAGAGACTACTTTGAGACCTATATTTTAGAAATTGAAAAAATCTTCGAAGAATGTGGCACAACAAACCATACAAAGAATTAATGAAACAAAAGTTGGTTCTTGGACAAAATAATAAAATAGAAAAGCTAACATCGATAGACCCCTGGCAAACCTGACTAAAAATGAGGAGAGAAAAAACCCAAACCTTAGTAGAATCAGGAATGCACATGCAAGGGGAGGATAACAACAAACACCATGGAAGTCCAGGAAATCATCAGAGACTACTTGAGAACCTATATTCAAATAATTTGAAAATCTAAAAGAAATGGACAGATTTCTAGATACATATGATCATCCAAAACTGAACCAAGAGGAAAAACCTACAGCCAACATCATACTTAATGGCAAAAAACTGAAGCTATTTCCCCTAAAATCAGGAACAGGACAAGGGTGCCCACTATCCCCACTCCTATTCAACATAGTACTGGAGTTCCTAGCCAGAGCAATTAGGCAAGAAGAAGAAATAAAAGGAATACAAATAGGTAAAGAAACTGTCAAAATACCCCTATTTACAGACGATATGATCCTATACCTTCAAGATCCAAAAACTCTACCCAAAGACTCCTAGATACCATAAATAGCTACAGCAAGGTGGCAGGATATAAAATCAACTTAAAAAATTCATTAGCTTTTCTATACACCAATAACGAACAAACTGAGAAAGAATATATGGAAACAATTCCATTTACAATAGCTTCAAAAAAAATCAAATACCTCGGAGTAAACTTAACAAAGGATGTGAATGACCTCTACAAGGAGAACTATAAACCCCTGAAGAAAGAGATTGAGGAAGACTACAGAAAGAGGAGAGATCTCCAGTCCTCATGGATTGGTAGAATCAACATAATAAAAATGGCTATACTACCAAAAGCAGCCTACATATTTAATGCAATTCCCATCAAAATCTCAATGACATTCATCACAGAAATTGAAAAATCCACCCTAATGTTCATTTGGAAACACAAGAGACCATGAATAGCCAAGGCAATACTCAGTCAAAAGAACAATGCTGGAGGTTTCACAATACCTGACTTCAAACTATATTACAAACCAATAGCAATAAAAACAGCATGGTACTGGCACAAAAACAGACATGAAGATCAGTGGAACAGAAAAGGGGACCCAGAGATGAATCCACACAACTATGCCCACCTTATTTTTGACAAAGGTACCAAATATATACAACGGAGAAAAGACAGCCTCTTCAACAAATTTTGCTGGGAAAAGTGGTTATCTGCCTGCAGAAAACTGAAACTAGATACATGTCTGTCACCCTGCACTAGTATCAACTCAAAATGGATCAAGGACCTTAATATCAGACCCAAAACTCTGAAGTTAGTGCAGAAAAGAGTAGGGACTACTCTGGAAATAATAGGTATAGGCAAGGACTTTCTCTTTTTTTTTTTTAATTTAAATAATGACATTTTATTAGTTTGGTCAAATTATTCTATGTCAAATTAAATTTTCATATGGTTTAATTTCCTCAGTAAACTTTTTTTTTTTTTCATTTTTCTTTTATTATTCATATGTGCATACAAGGCTTGGTTTATTTCTTCCCCCCTGCCCCCACCCCTCCCTTACCACCCACTCCACCCCCTCCCGCTCCCCCCCTCAATACCCAGCATAAACTATTTTGCCCTTATCTCTAATTTTGTTGTAGAGAGAGTATAAGCAATAATAGGAAGGAACAAGGGGTTTTGCTGGTTGAGATAAGGATAGCTATACAGGGCATTGACTCACATTGATTTCCTGTGCGTGGGTGTTACCTTCTAGGTTAATTCTTTTTAATCTAACCTTTTCTCTAGTTCCTGGTCTCCTTTTCCTATTGGCCTCAGTCGCTTTAAGGTATCTGCTTTAGTTTCTCTGCATTAAGGGCAACAAATGCTAGCTAGTTTTTTAGGTGTCTTACCTATCCTCACCCCTCCCTTGTGTGCTCTCGCTTTTATCATGTGCTCATAGTCCAATCCCCTTGTTGTGTTTGCCCTTGATCTAATGTGGCAAGGACTTTCTCAATAGAACCCCAGCGGCTCAGCAACTAAGAGAAAGGATGGACAAATGGGATGTCATAAAACTAAAAAGCTTCTGCACAACAAAAGAAATGGTCTCTAAACTGAAGAGACCACCTACAGAGTGGGAGAAAATATTTGCCAGCTATATATCAGACAAAGGACTGATAACCAGAATATACAGGGAACTTAAGAAACTAAACTCTCCCAAAATCAATGAACCAATAAAGAAATGGGCAACTGAACTAAACAGAACTTTCTCAAAAGAAATTCAATGGCCAAAAAACACATGAAGAAATGCTCACCATCTCTGGCAATAAAGGAAATGCAAATCAAAACCACACTAACATTCCACCTCACCCCTGTTAGAATAGCCATCATCCAAAACACCACCAACAGTAAGTGCTGGCGAGGATGTGGGGAAAAAGGAACCCTCGTACACTGCTGGTGGGAATGCAAGCTAGTGGAACCACTCTGGAAAAAAATTTGGAGGCTTCTTAAAAATCTAAACATAGATCTGCCATATGATCCAGCAATCCCACTCCTGGAGATATACCCAAGGAATGCGACACAGGTTACTCCAGAGGCACCTGCACACCCATGTTTATAGCCAAGTTATAGAAACAGCCAAGATGCCCCACTACTGATGAATGGATTAAGAAAATGTGGTATTTATACACAATGGAATTTTACTCAGCCATGAAGACGAATGAAATCTTATCATTCTCAAGTAAACGGACGGAACTGGAGAACATCATTCTGAGCGAGGTTAGCCAGGCTCAGAAGACCAAAAATCTTGTGTTCTCTCTCACATGCAGACTTTAGATCCAGGGCAAATACAGCAATGTTGGACTTGGGCCACACGCTAAGGGTAGAGCACATACGGAAGGTATGGTAATAGGTAGAAAACCCAAAACTTGAACGTGTTTGATGTCCCCATTGCAGAGGAACTAATACAGAACCTTAAAGCAACAGAGGTCAATATGGGAAGGGATCAGAGCTAGTGAAAAAGGTCAGGTAGAGATGATCAACTTGGGTTGCAAACACATTTGTACATACAAGCAATGCTAGGAATCTCTCTGTATAGCTATCCTTATCTCAACTAGCAAAAACGCTTTGTCTTTCTTATTATTGCTTATGTTTTCTCTTCAACAAAACTAGAGATAAGTGCAGAAAAGGTTCTGCCTGGATGTGAAGGGGGGTGGGGAGGAAAAAGAGGGGATAGGGGGATGGGGGGAGAAATGGCCCAAACAATGTATGCACATGTGAATAAATGAATTAAAAAAAAAAAAGAAGTCATTTTGCAGCTGAGCATGATGGCATGTACCTGTAATCCCAGCACTAGAAAGCAGAGGTAGGAGGATGGAAAGTTCAAGGCCAGCCTGAACTACATAGTGAATTCCAAACCAGCCTGGATGACATAGCAAGAAAAAAGTCATTTTGCCTAACTGTAACAAATGCTGTCAGATATGTAAGAAAATGATAAACAGCCTGTTTAAAAGATACTTTTATCTTTGCCATAGCATTTTTAACTCTATAACTTAAACTAATTATACAATTATAATTTATAAGTGACAACCAACGTGAGACTGTGAGATCTAATTTTCCTCTTTTCACAACAGAACTTAACTGTTTGAGAGAAGATTAATTTTTTTTTTTTTTTTTTTTTTTTTGAGGTAAGGTCTCGCTATCTCGCCCAAGCTGACCTCCAACTCACAATCCTCTTGCCTCGGCCTCCTGAAGGCTAGGCTTACAGGTGTGCATACCAGCAGAGAATTAACTTTATCCAGATCTTTTTTTAAAGTGAGAAAATTCTGCTCAATTTTTCTGATACAATGTCAAGGCTACTTGAACTGACATATTTCCCAACCTCCTATTTTGTTTTTTGTGGAGTTTTTTGGTGGTGGTACTGGGGTTGAATTCAAGGCCTGACAATTGCTAGACAGGTACTCTACCACTTGAGCCACTCCATCAGCCCTTGTTTTGTATTGGGTTTTTTCAAGATAGGGTCTGTGAACTATTTGCCCGAGTTGGCTTCAAACTGCGGTCCTCCTGATCACTGCCTTCTGAGTAGCTGGAATTACAGGTGTAAGCCACTAGTGCCAAGCTATCTCAACCTCCTGTTGTTGCTCACAGTATGTGAAGGGTTAGGTTTTCAAACTTGTGCTGAAAAGCATATAAATGAAAATAAGAAATATATACATTCAAACAAAGACGGTGTTAATAAAAGCCAACTATGATACTGTTACATTTCTTATTACTTTCCACATTAATAATACCTTTCTTCAATATTAACCATTTCTGAGGAATCACCAATTTTTTTAAAGTTCTTATCATTCTCTTCCTGAGATTGCTCCGCCATCTTCTCCCAACATGATAAAAAACCTTCTCCTACAATAAAAATTAGGAACAATTTAGTTCAAAAGGTAGATTAAATACTTAAGGCATGAAAACTTTACAAATTACTATATTGAAAAATACTTAACTAAAAGTAATATTTGGGTCTAGGAATGCAGTTCAGTGGCAGAGCACTTGACCCAAGGTTCAATACCCGGCATTAAAAAAAAAAAAAAAAAAGTACGCACATCAAAAATTTTAGAATACTCAAGGATTTCTTTAATATGATAAAGAAAACTACAAATCTCCAATTAAGACAGCTGATATTCTTCAAAAGGTTAATGTGGGGGCTTTTGCAGAGTAAAAATGACAAAAGAATTGTAACAGCCAAATGTAATATATAATCTAGATTGGATTTGTTTTAAAAAAACAAAAAACAAAACCTTTTTTTTGGTAGGACTGGGGTTTGAACTCAGGGCTTCACACTTGCAAAGTAGGTGCTCTATCACTTGAGCCACTCAACTAGTTCATTTTGCTCTGGTTATTTTGGAGTTGAGGGTCTCATGAATTATTTGCCTGGCCTCCAACCACAATCCTCCCAATTTCAGCCGCCTAAGTAGCTAGAAAAAAAAAAAAACTTCAAAAGATACTTTGAGAAAGTTGAGGGAATTCCAAAACTGATTTAATTTTGGGTTGAGGGGTAGAGCCTAGTAATGCTTTACACTTGAGTCACTCCGCCAGCCCTTTTTGCATTGGCTTTTTTCTTTTTTTTTTTTGGCAGTAGTGGGGCTTGAACTCAGGGCCTATACCTTGAGCCACTCTACCAGCCTTTTTTGTGATGGGTTTTATCAAGATAAGGTCTCAAGAACTATTTGCCCAGGCTGCCTTTGATCTGCGATCCTCCTGATCTCTGCTTCCTTAGTAGCTAGGATTACAGGCATGAACCACTGGCATCCAGCTTGCATCAGCTATTTTTGAGATAGGGTCTCATTTTATACTTGGGCTGGCCTGGACCATGACCCTTCTATTTATACTTCCCACAGAGTGTGAATGACAGGCACATTCTACTGTGCCCAGCCACTGGTTGAGATGAGATCTCACAAATTTTTTGCCCCCACTGGTCTTGAACTGCAATCCTCCCAATCTCTACACAACCTCCCCCCAAAAAGATTTTTGTCTTGAGTTTTTGTGTTCCACTCAATTGACTTAAATAGTAAGAAATTATTGTTAACTTTCTTAGGGATAATGAGGCATTAGCTATAGAGGAATGTTCTAATTTTTATTCTAATTTTTACTTGATACACAACAAAAATAGTTGGAATGAAGTACATGATGCCTTCATATTACTTTCAGCAAAAAGGTTCAGAAAATAATATACATATGTAAACCTACAGCTTTACACATCTACATACATACATACATTGACAAAGTAATTGTGGCAAAATATTAACCATATAATCATTGTAGTTGTTCGATGTTTTTGGATGTTTGAAGTGGAACTATATTGTTTAAAAAGGCAAAGACATTTGAGCTTTCTATATTAATAAACTACTCTAAAATTAGAACTAAGGCATTATGCACAAAGGTAGCCAATCCTAAATGCTAAGTATAGATTTCTTTTATTATGGTATTTGTATTTTTCTAAAATTTATATTACTCAAAAACACACTCCTGAAGAGTTAAAATTAAAAAGAATTAATTTTTAATTAATTCATTAAAATTAAAAAGAATTTTCCTTACTGAGAGGGAAAACAGCACATTATTTCTCATGACTGAAATGTAAAGAGAAGGGGGAGAAAAAGCAGAAAGTAGTTATTTTTTAAAAAGGTAAGCCGAGGCTATGGCTCAGCATAGAGCATTTGCCTAGCATGACCAAGGCCCTTCATTCATCCCTAGCAACACACACACACACACACACACACGGACTAGGAGAAAACACAGCAGAAATGCCAGCATCTCCATGAGTTTATACCATCAAGCAGTGTGCCATTTCTCTGGCGGGAATGTGCTGTATGCTAGGACTACAGAGGTGCACTGAAGACAACCTGAGTGTTTGGGCTACAATTCCCACCACCAACCAATTTCTCATGTGTCACACATTCTATGAGGCCCACCCCACCACCACTCACATTTTAATAAATCTTAAACTATTTCTTAGCTCTCAAAACGGTATGTCCAGAACTTGTTGCCCCCTTTTTTGAAGACCCCACACTACCTGCAAAGTATGAAGTTAGTATAAGCAACTCAAATTGTTCCTAGAAAAGTAAATTCTAAGCCAGGTACCAGTGGCTCACACCTGTAATCCTCGCTACTAAGGAGGCAGAGATTAGGAGGACTGCAGTTACAAACCAGCCCCTGGCAAACAGTTCATGAGACCCTATCTTGAAAACAGCCATCACAAAAAAGGCTTGTGGAGTGGCTTAAGGTGTAGGCCCCAAGTTCAAACCCCAGTACCACTGCCTCCCCATCCCAAAAAAAAAAAAAAGAAAAGAAAATTCTGGTTCAGCTCTGGGTCTGTCAGTGCCTGTGCAGCATGTGGGACCTTATAACTAAATTACAGAGGACAGGGAAGAATGAAGAAAGGCTGATTTGTCATAGGACAACTTGGTAACCATGTTAAGTTACACAACTCACCTGTAGGATGATTATGGCTTTCTTCTTTTGAATCACTTTTTTTCACAAGTGCTTCTTGATACTGTGACTCATAAAACAAATTGGGAAAAGCATTTTTTGAAGTTAAGACAAAATCTTGATGAGAAGTTCTACAAAAGTTGCTTTGTTCATCAGGTAAAATGTTGGGAGCATGAAGTTTCTCTTGGGCTTGACTCAGGTAGATACATGGTGGCAATAAGGATGTGACTTCTTCTCCCATGGTGGAATTTCCCACAGATCTGTACTTCTGACTCTGATCGTCAGGCAGTAATGTCAAACCTTCCAAATGAGAAAATCAACAAAGCTGATGCCTTCCTATAGTAGTTTCTCTTCTGCCTAGCAGTGACCCCCACCAATGAAATTTTCTCCAAAATGATAAAAGTATTTTTTTCTCATTAGGAAATGGCATTTAATAAAACCACAAAACTTTTAAATTCCCAAGTAAATTTTATATAATTTAAAGAGTATATTTATATTATACTCTCTGTGCAGAGAGCCTGTGCAAGGCACAGGTGTAGCACGCCTACCTCTGGAAAGCGGCATTCCTGTCCCATGTGTGAGAACACACTACAGCTGTCAGCTCTGCAGCTCCCTGACAGGCATAGTTCTAAACCAATGCAGTTATGAAAACAACCTGAGTTGTTGCCTAATGATCAATAACTGCCTGTAAAAGTATCTCCCCTTTAGATTACTCTTAAAATTTTAGTACTGTTGGATGGTGAGATTATTAACTTTTAGTTTTTTAATTTCTTCTTTTACTTTCTATTTTGTTTAAGTCTTTACTTTTGAAATAATCCAATAAAAAAGAGAAACATTTCCCTACTATACGCCTCTAAGGTTCACTCCTCAGAGGGCAGAAGGCACAGCAGCTAACCCTGCCTGCCGTACTAGCCCCTGAAACCTTGCTGCCAGCCCTCTTCTCTCCTATATTTCTTCATCTAAACTTGGGAGTAAAAACACAAAGAGAAATATTTTATAAAATAGTCATTGCCACCTATCACTTATCTACCTATCACTATCTACTTATCTATACCAGAAATAAAACTAGAAAATCAGGTAAGGGCCCACAAAAGATCAGCTGGGACCTTTCTTTCATTATAGCAATATCCCCACTCCCCCCATCTAAATATTTTTATGAGCAAACATCTCACTTCAGTTTGAAGCAGTCTCTTGGAAAAGTAATGTTCTAGGGTAGCTAGCTGTTCTCAAAGTGTGGTCTATAAATGAAAAAATTCCTCCTTCATACAGATATATAACTGGGAAAAAAAGGAAATCTCCCAGTCTTCCAGGAAACCCACCAGGTCAAAGTATGCACTAATGCTCCAAAAGCAAAATGGAAACTGCTGGCACCTTCGCTCAAGGCAGGACAGTGGCTCCCAACTGTGCTAGTGGTCACTGTACTTGTCACCACCATGCACTCAACAGTACTGAAAAGTAATGTTTTAGTTAAGACTGCCCTAATAATGTAAAAAAAAAAAAAATTAAGTTTATTAAATCTCAACCTCTGAATACATGTCATTTTGTCTGTAGGACAAAATGGGAAGTATACATAAATCATATTCACCACAAACCAAGAAGTAGCTGTGTAATTGAGCTGCACAGTCAACTAGTCACTTCTTTTAAGGAACACCACTTTTACTTGGAAGAATTATAAAAACAGGCATTTTCTTCAAAAAAAGAACAAATGAGAGCTGGGCACCGATGGCTCAGCCTGTATCCTGGCTACTCACGAGGCAGAGATCAGGAGGATTGTGGTTTGAAGCCAGAATAGGCAAATAGTTGGCAAGACCCTATCTCAAAAACACCCAACACAAAAAAGGGCTTGCAGAGTAGCTCAAGTAGTACAGCACCTGCCTAGCAAGTATGAGGCTCTGAGTTCAAACCCCAGTCCCACAAAAAAAAAATTGTACTGTATAATGACATAGGTCAACACTTTGAAGACCCATATAACTCAATGTGAATCACTATTTTCCATATGGTTTTAGACTCCACACTGGGCATAACATCTAAGAAATGACTACTTGTTAAGAGGTAAAATCAAGGAATAATAGCCACAGTTATCTAAAAAGGTTATTAAAATACTTCTCTATTTTTTTCCCAATTACATATCCGTATGAAAGAGGAATTTCAAGCAACATAATTCAAGAAACTAAATGCAGAAGTAGATATGAAAGTCAGCTGAGTTCTTTTAATCCAGAAGTTAAAGGCACTTTCTAAAATACAAAGCAATGCCTTTTTTTTTCCTCACATTTTTGTTTTAGAAAATAATTTTTCTTTAAAAATGCTATTTGTGGGATGAGCGCCAGTGGCTCATGCCTGCAATTCTATCTATTTGGAAGACAGAGATCAGGAGGGTTGCAGTTTGAAGCCAGTGTGGGCAAATAGTACTCAAGACCCTATATCGAAAAAACCCAATGCAGAAAAGGGCTGGCTGAGTGGCTAAAGTGGTAGAGCACCTGCCTTGCAAGCATGAGGCCGAGTTCAAACCTCAGTACTTCATAAATAAATAAATGCTGTTTATGCCAGGCATTAGTGGCTCATGTCTGTAATCCTAGCTACTTGGAAAGCTGAGACTGGGAGGATCATAGTTCAAGGTCACCACAGGCAAAATAATACCCAAGACCCCATCTCCAAAACAACCAGAGAAAAATGGACTGGAAGTGTGGCTCAAGCAATAGACCACCTGCTTTACAAACATGAAGCCCTGAGTTCTAGTCCCAGAAAAAAAAAAAAAAGCTATTTATGCCAGGTTTGACTGCAATAATGTAAAGAAAAAGAAGGGGAAGAGAAGCAGGGATAATTTAAAAAAAAAAAAAAAAAAGGTTAGCTGGAGGGTAGAACACTTGCCTAACAAGCACAAAGCTGTAGATTCCATCCCCAGCACCACTGGAAGAAAATACAACAGAAAAGCAGCATGTCACAGAACTAAGAGTTGATAGTGGTTCTCACACATGGAACAGGAATGGCACCTTCCAGAGGCAGGAGTGCTGCAGCTGTACCCTGTACATGCTGTCTGCATAAAAAGCACAATATAAATATATTCTTATTTAAAAATTATGTGAACTTTACTTGGGTACTTACAAAAAATTTATGCATATCTGTAATCCCAGCACTAGGGAGCAGGAGCCTGAGGCAAAAATACTGCAAGTTTGATGCCAATATAGTGTGTTTGGGCTACACAGCACATTACAAGCCAGCCTGGCTATATAGCAAGACCCTGTCTCCAAAAAAACCCTTTTTTTTTTTTTTTATGGTAGTAGGGATTGAACCTAGGGCCTTAAACCACTTGAGTTATACCTTCAACCCTCTGAATTAATTTTTAAATGTCTTAGCTCTATTTTCTAATACAGTAACTGTTATGATTTGGATCTTAAGTGGTAGAACCTTTAGGAGGTAGGGCCTAGTGAGAGGAAGTTAGGTCTTTGGAGGCCTGCCCTTGAAGATGATAGTAGAACCCCAGCCCCTTCCCTCTCTGCTTCCCAGCTATAAGGAGAGGGAGCAGCCCCTCTACTACATACTTCCACCATAATGTACTGCGCTGCCACAGGTCCAGAGCAACCAGGACCAAGTGACCGTGTACTGATACCATGTTTATCTCAGATATTTTGTCACAGTAATGGACATGGCCCATAAAACAAAAATTCTTAAGGATCCTCAGTAATTTAAAAGTGCAATGGCGTCCTGGGAATAAAAGTTTGAAAACCACTGCCTTGTGTGGCTCAGCAGCAGAGTGCATGCATAGCTCAATGGTAGTGCATATGCTTAGCATGCAAGCAGCTCTGGGTACAAGCCTTTAGCACAAAAGGAGGGAGGGAGAAAAGAAGGAAGGGAGGAAGGAAACACTGCCCCAGAGCAATCTGTTCCATAACTGAGTGGAGGTAGTTCTCACATTAGTAACTTTGAAATCTGCTTCCCTGTCAGTTTACCATAGTGTTAGTTTTGTGGTAAAACGTATCACAAGCTGTTATTCAAATGATCTTGATTATTCTTTCCATGCATTACAGAAAAAAATAATGAAATATTCAACTGCTTTAAGATACAAAGCATGTTTTGTATATTCTCCAAGATAAATATGCAAATTTCCTAAACCATTCTTCACTTGGTACAATTTTTCATCACCATCCCACCTCTCCCATTCAGCCACACTCTGCACACTCATTTGCCAGTGTCTTTTCCTTTCTGTCTTCTCAATATCTAGTGCAATCTCTAAACAGAACAGGTACTTTCCTGAACCAGTAAAGTATATATATCTTAAAAGGCAGCATCATGCTGGGCACCAGTGGCTCATGCCTATAATCCTATCTACTTAGGAAGCAGAGATCAGGAGGATTGCTGATCAAAGCCAGCCCAGGCAAATATTTCACAAGACCCCCCCCCTCCACACCTTGAAAAGACACAACCCAAAACAGGGCTGATAAGAGTGGCTCAAGCAGTGAGAGCACTGAGCTAGCAAGTGTGAGGCCCTGAGTTCAATCCCCACAGTACCACCCATGCCTGGGGGCATTGCTCAAGTGGTAGAGCATCTGCCTAGCAAATGCAAAGACCTGAGATCAAACTCCAGAACCACCAAAAAAAAAAAAAAAGTAAACACATTGACACAACTCACTGATTTTTAGATTGCAGAGCATAATGCATTAGCAATTTTATCATCAGACACAACAGATCATGACTGACATATTTTTAAATGACACAGAATTAGAAAAAACAAAATAAAAAATCTGACAATATGAAACTTACTTGTCATTATGAGTCATGACTTCGAATGTTTTTGTTTCTATGAAATGTGTTCAAAAAAATATCAAACCACTGCCAACAATTTTTTTGTCCCTGATAAGCATGCAATGCATTCTGTTAAATGACACAGCAGACAACATATACTGCCACTTACTACCCTAGCAAACATTGGGGTATGGTTCTTCATTTGAGCAGAGTAGATTTTACACATATTTGCTTTTCACTCATCAGGCAGGGCCTGGATAATAGTAGCTCTAGGCTTAACTTGGCTTTTCTTCTACTGTTTTTTGGGGTTTTTTTTTTTAATATATGTTGGCTGGGGGTATAGCTCAATGGTAGAGAGCATGCTCAACATGATTACCCTGGGTTCAGCCCCAATACCAGCTATACACACTGGTATATCACCACATCGCCTACTTGACCCTGTCCTATAAAACCACTACCTTTCACATTTATCTGCTTGGCTCTGAAGAAATTGGAGTTTGTAACACACTATAGAGGAACAACTAAAGTAAGAAGCATGTAACTGTGTCTGATCTTACTAACCAAAAGCCCTGTGAAAGCAAAGCATACCTGGACGTGTGTGTTGGCCAGAAACCATGGTGAGCAGTTTCTCTTGTTCTTCCATGAGTCTCTGCAGCTGCTCTAACTGTTGTCTCTTCAGTTCTTCCTGCTTCTTTTGTTGTATTTCTTTCAGCTTTTTAAACATAAAATAAGTTTACTAAACTAGCTCTAACTTCTCTGGGGACACTTGCTCCTTATCTATCTTAAAAGGCCTTCCATCTCCCTTCTCATCTTATCTTCCCTGATAAAATTTCAGAGAGGCGTCCTGAAGTAACTAAATCTGCCACCAAAATTGTAAAATCCAATTTCTTTTGAAGGAAATCATTTCCGCTATCTCAACAAAGAAACAGGGAAAAAAAAACAAAAAACACATAAATCCTCTGAGTCTTAAAACAGGATGCAACATCAACTTTTTTCTCCTAATATCTCATCAACCACTTCTAACTTAGCTTTTACCATAAAGATATGAAGTTATTCTAAATGTTATAGTTATATCTTACATATGAAATACATTTTAATATTTCCCATTAGACAAAAGGCAAAACCTGCTATTTTGAGGATTTCAGAGTAGAAGGAGAAACAAACAGACCCGGAAAAGACAACTTGCAATCACATATTACCTACAATTACCCAAAAATATATTAGGCCAAATGCTATTGTACCTGTTCAAGTTTTTTAAAAAGTGGATCTTCACAAGCTGCTTCTTTGAATTCACTTGCAAAATCAGACATAAAGTCACTTTTGTTATCTTCCTGGTATCCAGAAGCATCCTGGCATGCCACTATTTGTGGTCCCTTTTTAATTAAAGGAAGGGCTGTATGGGCTTCAGATTTTTCTGACTGTGGTTTATAAGGGCCACCAGACTCCAACTTCTGTTCTTCGTGAAGTGAATCTTCTTCACTAATAAAGCTAAAGCTATTCAAAAAATGTGTGGCTTTAACAGGGAAGCTAGAAGAAACAGTAGTTGCTTGCTTCTCTTCATCTCCTTCCAAAACAGGAACTCCTCGATTTAATATGACCCCTGCCCGAGAAGGATTGGTCATCCACTGGGGTAGGAAGTGCTGTCCGCTGTTTAACTCTGAAGATGTTGGCATCAGGAACATTTTAATCCTATCTAAACACCATTACATGAAAATAACAGAAAAGCCAGAAGACCTACTGATTTCCAACACCTGTAAGTAAAGACAGTCAACAAAGTGTTAGTTAAAACTATTAGATGTTCGTCAACAAAGTGTTAGTTAAAACTATTAAATGTTCTATCCAAAAACTAACCCAAACCTCAACACAGCACAAAAATTTAGTTAATACTAAATATATGAAACATTCACCAATAAAGCTACTTGGCATTAAGCTACATAATTTGTTTGGTTTTTGTTTTCAAAATACCTAAATTTAGTAGATCAAAAACCTAAGAGCCCTTCTGATCTAATCATTCAATTACTACTGATATACAAATGCTACCTCAGTTGACATAAAACTATACAACCTAAGATACCTTCTAATAAGTTACTCAATTACAAAAATATACTACCATTGTCAGGTATTACCCACACTAAGCACTTTCTTGCTTCTTTGCCTAATGGGGAAACCTGTTTTCTCCCTAGTTCTAGAATAAAAGTTGTCACCAATCATAAATATTAGACATTAAAATAACTTTGTCACTGTGTAGTAACTATTACTTAAATAAGCCATCACAGAGAAGCTAAGCTCCTTCCCTTTGTACATCTGATTTTCCTCAAATAACATTTACTGATTTCTTACTCCACACCAGATACTGTTTTAGACACTAGGTACATGGCTCTTAATAAGTCAGAGTCCAATGGGGAAAAAATAAGCAAACACGTGTACCTTATACAGTATGTTAAATATTAATAAGTATTCAGGAGAAAAATAAAAGCCAAGTCAGGGAAGGAGGTTGCCGGTTTGACAGGGTGATGGACAGGCCTCTCTCAGAGGGTAAAATTAAGTAGTTGGTGGAGAAGAAAACACTCGCTGTGCAGGTACGAGAGGCAGAGAGACCCAGTCATCACCCAGATTTCCTAACCTTCATGTGTACAGTGCTGCCCACACCACCTTATTCCTCCAGGACCCAGCAGTTCTCAAAGCTCTTTTATCTCCATCTACCAGGATTAATCGCCCTTTATGCGATTAAACCTATTACGTCCACAAGAGCCCCAAGATCCCAAAACACCCCTTATCTCTTGCACTGTAACCTCTTCCCTGCTAATCCAATTCACATTTATACTTTATGCCTTCCTCTATCTCCCAAGCATCTCCATCAGTAAAATCCCCCAATATCCTTCACCTTTTCTCTGAGCACTTCCCCACCCTCCTAAGAACACTTGTTTCTATACAGCCCATCCTCTAGTACCACTGAGCCTAGAGGCAGAATGTGTTCTTTTCCACTCCTATTCTCCCTTCCTCCATCATAAGAAGCACATAGTTTCAACCTCGTATGATCAGACTATATAACCTACTCCCCTTCCTTTATTGTCTCCAGGTCACCCAGGTCCTCGCCTTCATTTCTTAAAATTGTGTAGTTCAGCAACTGTAAGGACAGAGCTGCCATCCACTAAAACAGGCAGACCGGTGACAAAACAGGCTGAAGGAGTAAGGCATTGAGAGCTGAATTTCAGACATCTTCAGATGCCTATTAGATAACCAAGTTGAGATGTGCAGACAGCTGGGAGGAAGTAAATGGAACAGTAGCTTCACAGAAAGGTGAGGTGAAGAGATACTTTCACAATAGGAGAAATAAAAGCATGTGTGTAGGCTGATGAGGATGTGCTGGGGAAACTGCTACAGCCATGTCCTTCAAGGCGGTGGGGGGGGGGATGTAAAAGCACAGTCGAATGACATAGCACACTGTTTCTTAGCCATTCTGTTTTTTAGACTTTATCAATATGATACAACAAAATATATGTAACCAAATGGAAAAGAAAAATGGCAATTTGGAAGCAACCAAACATGCACTTAGCTTCATACTTGGTGTGTTAAGAAACAGAAACATACAAAAGACATAAAGAGAAATGTTCACCTCACTTCATGGAGTAAACTAAAATTACAACAACTTACCATTTTTTCACATGCTGAGTTAGCAAAAACTAACAATTAAAAAAGGAACTCTTTCAATGAAAAAGTATTACTTGGGCATGTGAACTGGTACAACATTTTGGAAGACAAGAGGACAGTCCCTACCCAAACTGCAAATGCACAAAAACTTTCATCTACCAATTTTACCTCTAGGCATTTTATATCACTGAAACACTGGCATGAGCTCACAACATTTGCAATAAACTGAAAATAACAAATTGGATGTGGTACCGCATGCTTATAATCCTAGTACTTGGGAGGTTGACACAGGAAGATGGAGGCCAGTCTAGGTTACAAAGCCAGAACTGTCTTAAACAAAACAACACACGAAAAAATTTTCTGTCCATTAACAGGAGACCCAAGTAATCATGGTATTCATAATATGCAACTTTTTCTCTTGGTGGCACTGGGGTTTGAACTCAAGGTCTCACACTTGCTAGGCAAGCACTCTACCACTTGAGCCACTCCACCAGCCCTTTTTTTGTGTGTGTGTTGGGTAGTTTCAAGATTTGGTCTAGAGACCTATTTGGCCAGGCAGGCCTCAAACCTTGATCCTCCTGATCTCTGCCTCCCAGTAGCTAGGATTACAGGCGTGAGCCACCAGCCATATTATGCAACTATTAAAAGATAACAAGTACAAAATATGTCCAAGATACACGGTTAATCGTGAAGGCAAAGTGCAGAGCAGTGTGTATTATAAGACATAAAGACAAAACAATACAATTATGCAGACCAGTGCTATCCAGTGCAGTAACCACATGTGAAATGTGGCTAATGTGACTCAAGAACTGACTTTTAATTTAGTTTTAATTAAAGTAAAATTAAATTTAAAAAAGGAGAAGTACAAAGCATTTTTCTGTTAAACATGACTTTATTTACTTATTTATTTTTTAATGGCACTGAGGTTTGAACTTAGATCCTCCCTCTTGCTAGGCAAGCATGCTACTACTTGAGCCACTCTGTCACCCAAACATACTTTTTTTTTTTTGATAAAACTACATTTCACATTAACCACCATGGTGCATCATGTCACAGACTGCACAGAAACATGTCTGCAATCCAGTGTCAACTCACTCAGTATAAATGATTGTTTTTAACACATAATGTAATGTTATGTTATATCTGAATAGTTTATACAAACAATACAAGTTGCAGTGACCCTATTTATATTGTAATTGGTAATTAAAGTACTTACTATGTTAATTATTTTTCTGTTCTGGAAAATATGTATGGACAATTGGTTTTTTTTTATTTAAAACAAACATAAGGTGGGTGTTGGAGGCTCACGCCTATAATCCTAGCTACTCTGGAGGCAGAGATCAGGAGACTAGAAGTTCAAAGCCAGCCCAGGCAAATAGTTTGTGAGACCCTACCTTGAAAACACCCAACACAAAAAATGGAAAAATGCCTAACAAGCGTAAAGCCCTGAATCCAAACTCCAGTACCGCCAAAAAAAATAAATAAAATAAAAATAAAACAAAACTAGGGGTGGAGGCATGGCTCAATTGTACAGTACCTGTCTAACATGTGCAAGGCCCTGAGTTCAAACCCTAGTACCTCTAAAAAAGCAAAACACAAAGTTTTTTGTTTTTTGTGCATGGGAAGCAGAGATTGGAGGAATCACAGTTCAAGGCCAGCAGGGCAAAAGATTGGCGAGACCCCATCTCAACAAAATAAGCCAAACATGATAGTACATACCTATAACCCCAGCTTCACAAGAGGCATAAGTAGGAGGGATTTCAGTCTGAGGCCAGCCTGGGCAAACGCACGAGACTGACCCTGCCCGAAAAATAACTAAAGCAAAACTCAATCAATCAATCAATCAATGAAAATACACAGGCAACCAAAGAACAGAATAGAGGTACAAAAGCTACACTATGACCAGAACAGTGAGGCGTGGCTCAAGTGGTACAGCGCCTGCTTTCCGAATTGAGTTAAAACTCCAGTTCCACCAAAGAATGAGAGAGACAGAGACACAAACGCAAAGCCACCCTGACACCCTGAAAAGTAACTGGGCTGCGAGATGCTGTGACAGTCCCGCAGGACACACTTTTCTTGAAAGCCAGGAAGCCAAGACAAGGAGCAGAGCGACGCCACCGCAGCCGTCCTTGGCCGGCGTCCCCGCGTTCTCCGCGCGCGTAACAAGAGCTCCGTGCCGGCCTCGGCCCAGCGCAGAGCCGCGGAGCTGAGCGTCAGGCTCCGGTTCTCGGAAGAACAAAGCGGCACAGTCGCGCTCAACGCCGAACCGCCGCCCGCCAGCGCCCCGCTCCTGCCGCGCCCTAAGCTAGCCCTAAGGCCTGAGTGGTCCCTCTCAGGAGCCGGGCGCCGGACAGAACGTCCTAGGCTCCCTTCGCCCACGAATTACCGCTCGGTGAAGGCCTGGCCACTGGAACCAGGCCCGCAATCGCCCCGGCATTTACGAATCAGCCGCCACAGTCACTGAAGACCCACAGCCCCGCCCCCAGGACAGGCCCCGCCTAACCCGGGCCCGACGGCTGCTAGGAAGTGTAGTTCCCACCCGCTCCTGTGCGCTTGCGCGCGCGTCCTTCTAGGCAAACGCAAACTACGGCTACCAGCTACGCTGCGCGACAGCGTTGCCTAGGGGACGGACAGCGCTCCGCCTGCCGCCGGCCGCCGAGGCGGGGCTTAGGGGAGCGGGCTGCTCGGCGGGAGGACGTGGACTAAGCCTGTGAACGCCATAGAGGGTTCCTCACTGATACTGCAGTGCAGACTGTTACCAGGCTCACAGTCTGGGGAGGAACAGGAAATGTTTCTCTTTTTCTCCCTCTCACCACCTTGTCTGCATTTTATCCTGTTATACTAAAATAAATTCTTGCTAAAACTTAAAAAAAAAAAAAAGCTAACCTGTAAACCGAGGGGCGGAGGTTGGATTTTGGTGTTCTTTGGTTTTTTTTTCTGTGTTTGCTTTCTTGTTTCGTTGGATTTGACTTAGTTAAAAAAAGAAAGTGGGCTACACTTTCCTAAAGTAAAGATAATCCTGTGAGAATGCACTCCAAGAATAGTCATTGGCCAGCTCTTGTCCGTGCTTTGACAAGGTGTGTCCATTAGGTTTTAAAACTTTAAATACTGAAAGTGCAGGTTTCAAGAGATTTTATTGCATCGTGGGTTCAGACGTGGCCCTTTAATGGAAGAAGTTGTAGCAGGAAGGAGGATCAGAAGAAAACAGAGTACCCCTGAGTTCTGATAAAGTAGCAGGGAGGTAGAGATGGCATAGCAGAGAGATAAAACCTCAGGAATCTGAACGTGGAGAGGGTCACATAGCACTATGGAGGGGGAAAGTTAGGTATCACTATAGAACTGTATACAACCGTATATGGTTAGACCTTGCTTTTTGCTTCTGTAAACTGCTTGCAAGGGTATGTAAGGTGAGATCCCTTTGTTCTCCAGGCTCAGCCCTTGGACAGGAGTCTGCTGGGTCTGTGACTGCACAATAAAATGTTGCTTCCTGCTAAAGTGCCTCAATGTCCCTATCTCAGCTTGTAATTTCCCGCAACAAAGTTACAGCACTTCATGTTACTGTAAAGTACTGCCGAATTAAGACCACGCCAGGTGTGGAAAGGAAAGATTTATTAGAAATCCAGACCACGGGCTGTCCCCCACCCCAGGTCAGGGATCAGCAACTTGGGTAAATTGGGTAGTGGGCTTTATAGGAGGGGCCAAGCCATGGGGGAGGGAGAGAGTCTCTGGTTGACGACATGCCTGGCTAGTTGAATAACTGGAAGTTCCTGAATTGTTTTGCAAGCCAAGAAACAATCAGGCAGGGAGAAACAAGTTGTCATAAATCAGGGAGTCTGGTTTTAAGGTGTGACCTTGGGTCCTTCCGCTGCCAGGGACCTAACATTACAGCCTTTTGTTGGTATTATGGGCGCCCATCGATCTAGCTGCTTCATGCTGAGTGACTGTGTCCTTAAAGGGGGTTCGGCTGGAATTTGGATATTTGTAAGGTCCCCAGGAGCGGAGGCTGACGGTTTGTCCCAGGCTTCATTTGCAGACAAGGCCAGTTGTTGGGAGAAGGTTGTAGTAGCATCTGGTGGGAAGTCTGTCTACTGAATTCCCTGAATGATCCTGGAGGCATCTAGGGTTAAAGAGCATTTTCCTGGTTTAAGGGTTTGTATTTCCATAGCATCATTACATGTGCAGCTGTTTTTCTTTCTATAGTAGCCTCTATAATGGACCTACTAGATCGTACAACCAAGGGAAGGAAGCAGGAAAGTATTATGTGTGCTGTTTTGAGATTAGAAAAATTGGCCAGTGGGTGAGGCTGGGGTTCCTTATGGTTTGGGGTACCCCACCACTGAGTCTCTTGGGCTGTCATTGTAAAACTTCTGTCCTAGACAAGTTAGGTCCCCCACTAGGGTGGAGAATTGTTTTCCATGGCAGGAGATACAGTAATTCCCAATAATGGAAGTTTTAAGGAGCCAGATGCCTCTCCTGTGTCGTGGGAAGGCACTTTCACTGAAAGGCACTCGTGGGTCTAACTCCCTTGCCTCCCAGGGCCAGTGGTCTCCCATGTTGGCTCCCCTGCACACATAGCACGAAGTGACATTTAATGTCTGGGCTATAGATTCGGCCAGTGTGAGGAAAAAGTTCTTAGTTGTAACAGAAATGGGGAATTTATTTGGCATTTTCTCATAAAAGGAGTGGAACACCTGGTATGGGGAATTCTCATGGGTAACAGTTGTTAACTTAAGGTGTAACAGAGTTCCAGGGTCAAAGCCTTGGCCATCTGTCCTTATGCTAATTATCTGTCCCTGTGTACAATCAGATGGCTTAAGTACAGTGAAATTTGTATGGTTACAGGTACCTTGACTGCAGTTAGGGGTAGTAGTGCCTTTTTGAAGGAGGGCTAAATGTGTTACCACATGCCATGTGGCCCATGAAACACAACTCCAATAAGGGCAAAAATGATAACCCTTATTATTACACAGCCAGGAGTTGTCTCCCCAGCACATATATTTTTCATTTGATGTATAGGTCCTTTCCCAACCCAGGCCCCACAGCCACAGCCTGTACCTCCACATAGTTTGTCTATGGCCGCACAAGCATCAAACAATGACATTGGATTTTCAGGACCGAACACCTGGGTTCGAGTAACAATGTTCCCAGGGAGGTGGCCAGTGCTGAGTTCTAACCATTGCTCCACAGGGCAATAAGTGGGGTTGAAGCAGGTAAACTGATTATCATGGGAGCACACTTGAAAAATGGTGTGATTGTGAGTGCATGACCCGATAACAGAGCTTGCACAGGAATAGCAAGTGTGGAACAGTAAAGTCTTAGTAACAATACTTCCTGCCCTTGCAGTGCGCATGCATGGGTCACAGGAGGAGGATTTCTGGGTTGCAAAGGGAAAGCAGATGGAAAGCCAGATGAGGAATAAGAGCTTACGCAGGAGTGGCAGTGGGAGAGAATTTGCAGGGGAGGTGTAGCCACGTGGGGCCCAGTGGTATGCAAGAGTACTCGTCCTTTCTTGTAGTTGAAGAGTCTGAAGATGGTGGGCAATGTTTTATCCCTGAGAGATGCTGTCACTGGAGGATCCCGTTGAGCTTGACAGCAGTGGGCATTGTGAGGATGACCAGATGAAGGCCAATCCAATGAGGTCCCAGCAGAGAGGGTCAAGAATCCTGCTACTTGGACTGTTACCATGGGCTCCTCTGAGGTGTGGGGCAGGATCTGGTCTGCCTGCTGTCTGAGAAGTTCCCAGAGGAGGTTAAGATAAGATAGGTAGTCAGCAAGAGGAGCAGAGTCTGTTGGAGGCAAGTTTTCTAAGAGAAATGGGTGGCCATATATATTTTTTTTTAATTTTTATTTTATGCATATGTGCATACAATGTTTGGGTCATTTCTCCCCCCTTCCCCCACCCCCTCTCCCCTCCTCCCCCCTCGCTACCCGGCAGAAACTATTTTGCCCTTATCTCTAATTTTGTTGAAGAGAGAGTATAAGCAATAATAGGAAGGAACAAGGGTTTTTGCTGTTGAGATAAGGATAGCTATACAGGGCATTGACTCACATTGATTTCCTGTGTGTGTGTTACCTTCTAGGTTAATTCTTTTTGATCTAACCTTTTCTCTAGTTCCTGGTCCCCTTTTCCTATTGGCCTCAGTTGCTTTAAAGTATCTGCTTTAGTTTCTCTGCATTGAGGGCAACAAATGCTAGCTAGTTTTTTAGGTGTCTTACCTATCCTACCTCCCTTGTGTGCTCTCGCTTTTATCATGTGCTCAAAGTCCATCCCTTGTTGTGTTTGCCCTTGATCTAATGTCCGCATATGAGGGAGAACATACGATTTTTGGTCTTTTGGGCCAGGCTAACCTCACTCAGAATGATGTTCTCCAATTCCATCCATTTACCAGCGAATGATAACATTTCGTTCTTCTTCATGGCTGCATAAAATTCCATTGTGTATAGATACCACATTTTCTTAATCCATTCGTCAGTGGGGCATCTTGGCTGTTTCCATAACTTGGCTATTGTGAATAGTGCCGCAATAAACATGGGTGTGCAGGTGCCTCTGGAGTAACCTGTGTCACAGTCTTTTGGGTATATCCCCAAGAGTGGTATTGCTGGATCAAATGGTAGATCAATGTTTAGCTTTTTAAGTAGCCTCCAAATTTTTTTCCAGAGTGGTTGTACTAGTTTACATTCCCACCAACAGTGTAAGAGGGTTCCTTTTTCCCCGCATCCTCGCCAACACCTGTTGTTGGTGGTGTTGCTGATGATGGCTATTCTAACAGGGGTGAGGTGGAATCTTAGTGTGGTTTTAATTTGCATTTCCTTTATTGCTAGAGATGGTGAGCATTTTTTCATGTGTTTTTTGGCCATTTGAATTTCTTCTTTTGAGAAAGTTCTGTTTAGTTCACTTGCCCATTTCTTTATTGGTTCATTAGTTTTGGGAGAATTTAGTTTTTTAAGTTCCCTATATATTCTGGTTATCAGTCCTTTGTCTGATGTGTAGCTGGCAAATATTTTCTCCCACTCTGTGGGTGTTCTCTTCAGTTTAGAGACCATTTCTTTTGATGACAGAAGCTTTTTAGTTTTATGAGGTCCCATTTATCTATGCTATCTCTTAGTTGCTGTGCTGCTGGGGTTTCATTGAGAAAGTTCTTACCTATACCTACTAACTCCAGAGTATTTCCTACTCTTTCCTGTATCAACTTTAGAGTTTGGGTCTGATATTAAGATCCTTGATCCATTTTGAGTTAATATTGGTATAGGGTGATATACATGGATCTAGTTTTTTTTTGCAGACTGCTAACCAGTTTTCCCAGCAGTTTTTGTTGAAGAGGCTGCTTTTCTCCATCGTATATTTTTAGCTCCTTTGTCAAAGACAAGTTGTTATAGTTGTGTGGCTTCATATCTGGGTCCTCTATTCTGTTCCACTGGTCTTCATGTCTGTTTTTGTGCCAGTACCATGCTGTTTTTATT